GGACGTCGAGGTTGAGATGTCAAAGTTGGTGGTACGTAACGCGGAGGCACAATTGGAGAGCTGTTTTACTGACGGGAATACAGATTGTCGCCGATGAAAACTCACGAAGCTACATCGAACAGTGGCAAGAATCCCAAGGTGGGAGGGATACGGAGCAAGTGGAAATGCGACTTGATCATGCTCGGAGTGCCCTGGACGCCGTCCTCAAAGATCTTCGCAATCCCACAGTTCAAGCACAGAAGGACGAAATGTCGAGTATTGACCGAGAGGGCGACGTCAGCATGACGGATGGAGCAAATGCAGAGAATGCGGCCGGAGATGTGGTCACCATTCCCATTGCCATTGATGATGAATTATCCGACATTCCAGCAGAAATGCGTGAGACTGTGGCAAAGGAAATCGCAGCATTCCGAGATCGGAGCAACCGCCGTGACCTGGAGCGCATGAAACGCGAAGAAGAGATCGAACAACAGGAACGGAATCGCATGATGAACGGTGATCGTTTCAACCGTCTCGCATCCCCACCTCCTTCAGCGCCTGTAGGACCGGCTGGCACGAACGGTATCCCGGTTGGTCCGAGAGGAGCACCTGCTGGGCCAAAAGGCTTTGGTGTGCAAATACCAAGAGAATACCAGAAAGGTGTTGTGTTTAATGGAACAACAATTAGCGGCGCCTCTGCATTTGAAGACGAAGATACTGATGCTAGCGATGAAGAGCTCGAAAGACGACGCAAGGAGAGAAGAGATGCAGAACTTGAGAAACAATTCCTGGATCAGGAGCGTCGGTGGTTGAACCGGGAGAGATCACGGACGGAAGCCGTGGAACGCGTAAAGAAACGCGAAAAGGACGACGCTGGTCGCCTGGAGGAGGAAAAGGAAGCAATGCGCAAACGATTACACGACTGGAACGACGACACCGAGGCTTCTCGTAGAACCGAAGAGTACTATGCTGACCGAAGCATGTGGATCCGGAACCGAGCAAGCTTTCGCCAGCGTGAGATGGCAAACGACGAGGCAGACCGTGCAGCCGAACAGCGAGAGCGGGCCCGCGAATTACATCAACGTGAGCGGGTGGATGCCATGGCAGACGATTTCCTCAGTCGACAGGAACGAGAAATGCTCAACAGAGAAAAGGATAGACAAGAGGAGGACCGCGCCCAGCCTTCGCGCCGTGAACCTGCCCGCTTCAAGCTATCTCTGGGAGCTGCAGCGCAAAAAGCAGCTGCGCAAAGTGCGTCCCAGGTATCGAAACGCACCGTTGCAGACGTGGAGGGTCTTCTCGAGGACGAAGAGGAGGAATCCAAGGCTGGCACGCGCAGAACGCTCATACCTATCGAATACGACGCCTCGACCACTGCTGGCATGTCAGAAGAAGAGCGCGCCCAAGCGGCTCGCCAGCTCGCAGCTGATATTCCTAATGATAAGGACGGCCTGTGGACATGGGATGTCAAGTGGGAGTTTGTGGACGAGAGTATCATTGAAGAGCGCCTGAAACCTTTCGTGGAGAAGAAGATCGTGGAGTATCTCGGTGTGCAAGAACAGATGCTCGTGGACGTGGTCGTCGATGCTCTCAGATCCAGGGGGAAGCCGCAAGACTTGGTCGGAGAACTGGAGGGGGTAAGTGCTCCGTGACTTTCATGTGCTCATTGCAGATCACTGACTCGGCGACAGGCTCTGGATGAAGAAGCCGAAGTGCTTGTCCGCAAGCTCTGGCGAATGCTCATCTTCTTCTCGGAATCCGAGAAAAGAGGTCTCGCCGCCTAGTTTGGCGCAGACGGACGAATAGATGCACCAAAGCGCTCAATTCGGCCACCAGCAATGGCTCGCCAAATCGTCAGATCACAACATTCGGTCACGGCCCCGTTCAGCAATGGAATGTTAGTGGTTCACTGATGCAGATGGGTGACAGTCATTCTACCACCGTCTGTCCTTGTGCCAGGATTGAAAGCAGGATGTAGGATATCTGCCTCAACGCCACCGTTATGAGACTGACGCTCCTATGAATGTGGTACTGCTCCCGATATTCGAACGAAGATCAAGAACGTGTCTTTTTTCAGCAGACGATTGACTATCAATCATCTCTCTCAATCGACCAGCCACCTTGATTTCCCCCGATATCACTATGAGCGATGTGGTCCCGACCGCAAGGAAAATGAATCCATGTAGAACCATAATTCTTGTCAAGCCAAGTTAACTGTACTATATTACCATGGTGATGTGTGTCTCGATGCCACAATTCACATAGTTCACGAGAAGACAGGGATCTTTGGACGACTCTTGTGTTCTTTGGATGCTTGAAAGTGATTCCCCCATCGTTCTACTGGGTTGGTTGATTGACTTGTTGGCAATACTCTCGTCTGGCCTGCCTATAGCTATCGCCTTTTTCGTACCCTCCCGGTTCGTTTCTAGTCTTCCACTAGCATCCCTCCTTGACCCCCGTTGTTAGCGTCTCAGTCGTCGGCATCGTCGTCGCCCCATCCGCCCAACTCCCTCCCTACATCGCCGACATTCGGCCACCCCAGCCCGCCATCGCTCGCATCCAGGCCGCTGCGCCTGACCATCTCGGGCCCACAGAACTCGACGGACCGCGCGGCCGCGACCTTGACGCCGCGGACGACGTCCTTGACGCGCCTCATCCGGGGCGTTTCGTCGTCGGCGCCGCGCGCGCCCAGCACCCTCCCCAGGCCGCGGACGTGCCAGAGGCTCGGGCCCCGCAGGCCCTGGCACGTGATGCAGGTGAACGCGACCAGCTCCGTCTCCAGCGGTGTCAGGGTCGAGAAGTCGCCCAGATACAGGCCGTAGACGATGGCGATCTCGTGGATGCCGACCTGTGCGCGGTGCGGGCCGAACGTCGAAAAGATGCGCGGCCACAGCGTCCCGTAGATCGAGGTGATGGCCTTGACGCCCTGCGCGTGCAGCGACGGGAGCGTCAGGTTCGACCTGTACCACTTACACAGAACCCGGAATGCCGGGACGGTGGTTAGCACTTGGACGTTGAATGCTAGTCCGCGGTGCGAAATAGACTTGTAAGGGAGGGAAAGGGAAAGGAATGGCAGGAAACCGATGACTCGGAGGGATTGATGAGGGCAACGCACCACTGCTCCAGCTCCAACTCGCCGCGTTCCGCCTCTCCCTTCCCCTCGGTCTGCCGCTGCGCGAGGGGTATCAACGCCGAGAGGACCTGCGGCGCGCCGATCAGGACGATCTGCTTGAGGAGCACGTCTCGCAGTCTGTCGGAGAGGCGGGTCTGCGCTTCCGGCGTCGAGAAGGCCGTCTCGTGCGCGGTGACGTGCGTCCAGAAGTCGGCGAGGAGTTGGGGTCGTGGCGAGACCGTGAGGACGGTGGCCTGGATGATGTCGCGTGTTAGAGAGAATTGCTTTTTTGGGGGCCGAGTGGAGTGGAGTGGAGGTGTTGCGATGGAGGAATCTCTCTCTCTCTCTCTCTCGCCAGCATAAGGACAGGATTGAGGTATCACGCTACGCTCGGGATGTCGAATCAACATGACCTCTGTCTCTCCCCTTCCTCTCTCTTTCTTTTCTTTCTTGTTTTCCTTCCTCCGAATTGCCCTCATCCAATCTCTCCTCTCGAGTGGACGGGTTAAACTCACAATAATGATATACCAGCTCTCGTCCCCCACCTCTTCGAGCAACGACTCCTTGACGTCCCTGCACAATTCATCCCATTGTTCCTTTGTCGGGGACGATGGGGTCGACATGTTTTCTTTCCTATGTATTGGGTTTGGTAGTTTCGGAAAGCCCTGAGCCTTGTTGGTAAGTTTTTGGTAGCAGATGCGGAGATGGAATGAAGAGCCGGCTTTTACAAAGAAAAAGTTTGGCAAATTATTATCCCCGAGGACGGAGGAGAGGATATCTTTTTATACAGAAAATAAATCCTGCGGATCTTACTGCTCTTCTGCTGGGTCACTCGAACAAATCAAACCTTGCGCAAAGCTTGATAATTCTTCTTCTATCTGCTCGGTACTTATTATATCTACACCCTCTCAGTACGAGTCTCACTCAGTTAAATTCCCTGACCTGAGAAAAGGCCGGAAATCGGAGGATTGGCGTAAGCTCTGGCCTCCTAACATCCGCAAGAGAACGAAGGTGATCAGATTCTCTGCTCGTGTCTCTGAAAATTCCGAGCGAGGTTCTTCGTCATTGTTGCATTGTCCAATGACTGAGCCGGCAAGTTTCGCGCCTTTGGGGATGTCGATGCGCCTCAATCAGGCCCAAGGATGCCATTCTAGCGACGTGCACCTTGCCGCTTTGTCCGAAGCCCTCGATCCTACCAATAGAGCAGCGACGATATTCAGCGCTAGGCTCGTCCCGTATTTGGCGTCTACTAGCACCAATTCCCTGGCATCGAACACCATATTAGCAGTCACGCAGTTAGCTCAACGACAGGAGAGACGAAAGCGTTTTCTGCTGGAAGGGCATGCCCGATCGGAGATGATGCATGGTCGGTTGTTTATTCTAGGCTGCAGATAGCCGCCATATATACCTATGATTGTGGTGAATCGGTAATAATACCGTCCTGTCTGCCGGTGGATTGTCCCACCTCTCAAACACGAGAACAGCAGGCTTTAGAGGGGTAATTACCGGTTGCTGACTCCATTATACTCGCACGGTGCAGGACCCGTCTCTGTTAAGACGAAACATGGAGTTGCTGACGCATCTGCGAATCATTGTCAAATGTCGCTTGAGGAGTCCCAGGTGCTAGCCACTTGACCATGTGAAACCATCGCGGACTGACTGGTGTCTCACGTCTCTCTGCATGTAGTACACGGCCGGGGAGAGGTTGCGACTGCGAGTCAACCCCTTGAGAGCACCATCAGTTTTCTCGGGTTGTCGTCTCGACGACTGGTTGGATTGTCAAAGTCCTGTAGCAGTATGCATCAACGGATGCCATCGAAGAGCTCCTTGTTCAAGCGGATGGCGAAGTTGGTACTCGGCTCATGAGTAGTGCTCCAAAGCTCTGTTCCAGAAGTGAGGCTCTGCTGTGTCAAGATCCGAAAATCTTGCTCAGGAATCCTCCGCCCCCACTTTGATTCGAGCTTGGAAATGAATCTCCCTTTTTCATCTCATCGTCGATCCACTTCGCCATTGCTTTCTCGTCGCCCATCATTCTCGTATCGACGAGTCGGTCGGTAACTCTTTCAGCTCTGCGCCCTCCGAAGCCCATCAAGGTAGGCATGCTCCTGACTCCATATTCTACCCCCAGATCCATCATATTGCCGTTGCTCATGTCTGGAGAGTCCAGCTCAACCTCTGCAAAGGCGAGAGACGAGTATTTATCTTCTGGCGACGGTGATCGAGTTTCGACGAGTGACCTCAGCAGGGGTGTTATCGTCCTGCAGGGTGTGCATGTGGAAGTGGTAAAGAGGGCCAGCATCAGGGTGTTGTTGGCGGAAATGAGGCGAAGGGCATCGTGGAACTGCGGCGGCGTCCGGAAAGGCGTAAAAACACGGTTCTTATGTGAGAGAGGTGCGCTTGTGCTGAACGATTGAGCGAGGGTTGCCGGTCTTCTATGAGAACACTGCACCTCCAGCAGAGACAAGCCTCGAATGTCCCGAGCGATTGATCCCCAGAGACGAGAAGAGCAGAAGATAGCGTGCTTCATATTGCGGTTTCGTTTGTGAGGTATTGGTTGTATCAGGACCCAATAGAGAGGAAGGAAACACAAGGTGAAAGACGCAGCGAGCAGTAAACTCATGGCGCAGCTGATGACATCAGTTCAGTTGGAGAAGCAAAACATTCATCCGTTTTCAGGCGACAGAACCCGCCGTTTTACCAAGACCGTCATTTGGTACAGCTCTGGACGGTTGCTGCTCTGGATGTCAAGACCTCACACAGAGCACATAACTTGGAAGACGGTGAGCTTTAGGATCTTGTCAGGTGTTTAGGAAGGAGTCGAGCTCTCAGGGTCTGTCGTCCCAGGAGCTCACTGGGACGTGATCCCAAGCCAACTACCAGTCCAACTTCTTGTCTGATCTATTCAGCGCGAATGGCCTATTTTGTCCGCTGTTGCAGTTATGAGCATCGACTCTGGAAAGGAGAACAGCTTGAAGCTGATTTGAATGAAACCACCCCAGACGAGACGAACCTCTAGTCTCCCGATGCAGGTCAAGACTGGCTCTCTCCAATTCCGACTCTCCAATAAGCGGCAGGTATGGATAAGTCTGCTATCATTCAGCCTGAATTGCGACGATTGAAACTCTACTCGAAGGATGCGACAATGGGGCCAAGCCGGTGGTTGGGGTTGCAGAGATATACAAAGGATACGGTACCTCGCTTGAGGATCTAGCACATGGGATCGGAACTTTCGAATATCTTACTAACCCTTAACAAACAAGACAAAAGAAGACCACCTCCTAGAAGAAGACAAGGCTACCAGACCGGTATGAGCATAGAGGTTGTTATGCCTGCTCTGTAGCTAGGCTTTCAATGCCAGACTGCAACGACACACGACTCTCAGCAATGAATCCAATCATCCCAGGCTTCGCGCCGGACCCCTCCATTGTTCTCGTCGGCGACACATTCTTCCTCGTGAACTCTAGCTTCCACATATTTCCAGGCCTCCCGGTCTACGCATCAACAGACCTGGTCTCATGGAGACACATAAGTAAGCTTCGTCGAGTTTCCTGCAGGCATTCTCTCGTGCGGTGTGAGGTCTAATGTATCTCTCCAACAGCAAACGCGTTCAATCGCCGCGAACAGCTCAGCCTCCAAGCCTCTGACACCAAACATAGCCCAGCTGGCGATTCGGGAGAGGTCATGTCAGCCACAGGCGGTCTTTATGCGCCAACTATACGCCATCACGATGGGACCTTCTATGTTATTTGTACAAACGTGGTCCGGGGCACCGAAGAAGACAAGGGTGACAGGACCCAGAACTTCATCATAACGACGACTGACATTTACTCACATAACTGGAGTGATCCTGTCTTTTTCGATTTCGACGGGATCGATACCAGTCTTGTCTGGGACGACCAAGGAAGGGCGTATGTGCATGGCTCCGCGGCCCCTGGCCCAGGGACAACCATCAAGTTGTTCGAGATTGACGTCAAGTCCGGTGCAAAGCTCAGCAGCGAGACATTGATCTGGGAAGGTACCGGTGGTGACTGGCCAGAAGGTCCGCACATCTATCGAAAAGACGGCTGGTGGTACCTGGTCATTTCCGAAGGTGGCACTTTTGAAGACCACATGATCACTGTCGCTCGAAGCAAACATCTCTATGGGCCGTACGAACCCAATCCCCACAATCCAATACTAACTGCACGAGGCACGGACGAATACATCCAGCACACGGGACACTGCGATCTATTCTGCGATAAGCAGGGCCAGTGGTGGTGTGTCTGTCTCGCAGTACGAAAGGACCCGGAAAGGAGATTTATCCTGGGCCGTGAAACGTTTATTACTCCAGGTGCATGGGCCGAGGGTGAATGGCCGACTTTGCAGCCAGTCAAGATGGATCCGGAGGCCGTATACTGTCGCAAAGTGGGCAAGCCGAGTGCTCTGAGCTCCGAGCCACTTGTGGACTTTTGCTATATCCGTGACGTGGATCTCGCCAGACATCATATCTCGTCTGATGGGAAGACTATCCAGCTAAAATCCAGCGACGCCGACCTTTCTGACACCCGCGGCCAAGTATCCTTCGTGGGCAAGCGACAGAGGACGCTCGCAGGACAATCTTCCGCGACACTCCTCGCACCACCTCGCGGCTTCATTGGCAAAACCGGCGTTGCAGTGTACAAGGACGAGTTCCGCTTTGCTCGGACTTACCTCGACCTCGAGACGGGCGAGATGGTTCTTGAAGTCGTGAACACGCCAAAACAAATCTGTCGCCGAACTCGGAAGTCATGCGCCGCGGACGTAGCAGACAAAGCTATCGAGCTGCGACTGGAGTACCAGGAAGACTCGTACACATTCTCGTTCAGCACGGCCGGCGACGATGACAGGATAAAATTCGACGTCTTTGACACGATGGACCTGGTCGGTCTGGACTTTACGGGGCCGATTGTGGGAGTCTTCTTGACGTCGTCGCAGGATGGCTGCCGCGTGACCTTTTGCGATCTGCAAGTCGATTGATGGAGTGCTACTTACAACGTTGTATTCGGACGGACACTGTCTCTGGAACCGGAAGCAAGCGAAGATAATAATGCTATATCTAGTAGTTAATGTATTTAACTATCTGTCTAAATCTATTCCGCATCGGCATCAGCACAGCACAGCACAGCACAGCACGGCGCTGTCACTGCTAGCCTTAGATATATCTATCCATCTAATTCATATAATCCGCCCTCCCCAACACCACGTGAGGTTGAACCCGCTTCATTCGCCTTGGACTTGACTCCCACAACGTTTCTCTCTACCCATACCTCTACCTCTATCCACCTGTACCTCAAGAGAATCTTGAATCTTGATCATGTACCAATTCAATTCAGCTCAATTTCATTCCATCCCCCCTAGGCGGCCGCCTCGGCCCAAACGTGGCCTCCCACGCGCTTTGGACCTTGATCAGCACGGCTTCCTGGTTCGCGCGGGCGACGACCGAGAGGCCAAACGGACGGCCGTTGTAGGATAGGTACGAGAGGGGGAGTGTGGCGATTGGGTAGCCTGGATTTCGAAGAATAAATGAGGGACAGTTCAGCTCGTACATCTATGTAGATGGACGGAAACGGAAAGGGGTTGGGGGGGGGAGGACAGGGAGGTCCCAACAGGGAGGGAGGGAGGGAGGGAGTGGTGCATGCTCATATCCATCGTAGGTTCATGTTCATGTGTACACAACAAACGCAACGTATTGGACGTACCACTACAAGCCGCGTAGGATATCAAAAGACTATCCGCCGGTGCCATGATCACATCGACCTGGTACGTGTCGAGAATGTGATCGATGCCCCTGTCTCTGGCCACCTGTCGGAGATGGTTCCAGTGCGCGTCGTACTCCTCATCCGTGAGGGATTGGCGGTACGCTCTTAGGAGGCGTTCCTGGTTGGGAGAATCTATTTTGTGTTTTTTTGGGGTTCGGCATCAGTTATTTTGAGTTGAGGAGAAGAAAGAAAAAGGGAACAGAGTTGAGCCATGTCTGCTCTACTCTCTGGTCTTTCTTAGTACTTGGTACTTACCTGGAGTAAGTTCCAAGTCGGCGTGTCGCTCATTGAAGTCTATCAGATCCCCTAGGCTCCGCACCGTCGAGTTGACTCGTGTTTGGAGATAGGCATTGATGGCCTTGACAAAGTCGGCAGCTGTGGGAGAAGAAAAGTGTCGTTTAGTCTTTGACGGTCAAAAATCTCATTTTCATAAATCAGGTCAGACTCTCACCGGCGACCACAGTCTCGCTGTTTTGTCCATTTCTCTGGAAAGCCTGAGGGTCGACCAGGGGAACATTGCCTGCGTAGGATTTGGCCAGTGTTTCAATCTTGGCGTACGTCTGACGGATCTCGGTGGTCTGTCACTTGTTGGTTAACAATGTTCGACACACACGCACAAACACACACACACACATTCGGGGCCTGATATGAGGGAAAAAGAAAACAAACCATTTGTCGTGTAGCACTTTCAACGGGCCGTAACCACGACTCCGGCAAGGTCCACACTTCGGGATCCAACGTCGCGACCGAAATGTCACTCCAGCTACCTGTCAATGCAGACGTGTAGCTTTTCGCAGGTCTCCGCTCAGGGTCGACGATGGCGTCGAGCAGTACCGCCAGGTCATAGGGGGTCTTGGTCATTGGGCCCGCCGAGTCGAAGTTTGCCGAGATAGGGACGATCCCAGCCTGTGGCACGAGGCCGATTGTGGGCTTCATGGTATACAGGGCGGCTCTGCCCGCTGGCAGAACGAGTGAGCCGTCGGTCTCGGTGCCAATGGAGAAGGGACTGTAGCCTGCCGAGACTGCGACTGCCGAGCCAGCAGATGATCCAGAAGGGTTCTGATCCGGATGTCATTAAAGAGTCCACTTTGTGACTTCTTTTCCAATAGACAAGAACTCACTCCATGGCTGTCTTTGCTGTCGTCTGGATCACTCGTCGCCCGTACGTAGGCCGACTTAACTTGTCCCCCGACGGCAGAGTAGCCACTGGTTATATTTTCGCCTCTGTGCCGAGGTCAGCGCGGATGCAACAAGCCCTCATGGCAGCACGGACTTGTAGTTTGACAGTTCCTAGATAAGGTCAATCAGTTGAGAACAATTGTCGCCCGAGGACTTCACATACACTCAGGTTCGTCTTGCCGAGGATGATAACTCCGGCAGCGATCAGCTAAAATGCTTGTTAGTAGGTGTTGTTTGCTGTGTGTATATGACATCAAAAACGCAAAACTGTACCAGGTCGACGATTTTGGCGTTCTTCTCCGGCCACGAATCCACGAGCGCGTAGCTCCCGGCAGTCGTCTGAAAACCAAGGTCAGGGTGAGTGTCAATGTTGTCCTGGGAGAGTGGTCAGAGCAGCATCATTTGAGAGTGTTCACAAAACCCCTGCCTTGATGACGATGGGAATGCCATGCAAAGGTCCTCGGATTTTGCCTTGAGATCTCTCTGTGTCGAGGATCTCCGCAGCCCTGAGGACACTCTGCAAGGGCTTGAACCTGATCATGGCCTTCAGGTAACCATCGTGTCTCTGGATCTGATCTGTGTACAGCCGTACAAGATCAACACTGTGCAGAGTTCCCTTGTCAAGTGCGTCTTGTAACTCTTTCAAGTCTGCGGTCAGCGGATTGAACCCCGCGGCGCCCAGTTTCACGGTAGTTGAAGCTTCCAGATCGGCCGATGAATACCATCGTACCCCTAGAAGGACTGCCGCAAAGAGAGCAACAAGGCTGAAAACGCTGGATCGGTCTAGGCGCCTGGCGTGGGAGTCCATGACGTGAGGCTGTGGGTGGAGGGGCCTGGGGTGTGCTTTCGTTGTGGAGGTTCAGATTCCAAGAGTAATAGTCGAAACACAATGATTGGTTAAAACTACCTTATTCCAACCAGAAAGTCCTAACAGTCTAAATACGCTAGTCCATTTCAAGGCGGGGATTGACCTTAAAATGTAGAGTAGTCCATAAACAGCCTAGCCGCCCAAGACATGTATACACTATCAACCAGAACTACAAGTATACCTCGTACATGTAGTCGAAGCAGTGGCAAGCAACGTAAATGGTGCAATTATGTTCGTTATCATGTGAGCCCAATTTGCAAGTATATCCTAGCACTTCTTTCACGTAATATTGTGCGCTTATGAAAGATTCTTTTCTTTCTTCATCTATAGCCCCAACCATCGCTATGCCGCGCGCATCTAGAACAATCCATCGCGAAGAGGTCGTCCGAATGGAACAAGAAAAAGGGGTATCAGGACCCTGAGGCCCATAAGAATCATGCAACTCGTGATCAGCGACGCCTTGGAAAAGCTACCCTCATAGCCCGGCCACTGAGCTCTTTCATTCATATCAGAAATGGATGAAACGAAAGGGCAAAAAAAAGGTATGCACAAGAATAGAGCTAGGGCCACAGAGACCACGACAACGGCCAGTCATAAGACAATGCAGGAGGATGTTTGATGCCTGTCCAAAGTGGAAAAAGTCAGTTTTCATATGTTTCTCTGGTATAAATGAGCATGTCTGTGACAGTGCCTGAGAAGCGCTTATAAGTAAGGGTACGAGACCAGCTCCCTTCTAGCGCCTTTCCCTGCCTGAACAATTATTTGGTTGCAGCAGATCTGCCACTGAAGTTTAACTTTCAGGGAGCTCGGTTGATTCAGCTTCAGTCCCGGCAGTCTCGAGCTCATGTGCTTCAGGCTCGGTAAGCTCAGGCCCTCGTGTGGTCACAGAGCGAGGCTCGAGCTGCGCGGGCGGAGTAGGTGCGACAGCATCACGAGTTTCCTGCTGATGTCGATCTTGCTGCTCTCGCACTTTTGCAGCTAGCTCTGCTTCGTACTCACTTCAGACATACCATGTCAGGCAAGGTGGGCTCAGCGTAGAGGGGAGAAGAAATGCGGAACTTACCACCGCGCTTGCTCAAGTCGGTATATCCATTCAGCCGTAATTTTCAAGCGTTCCCTCACGCCGGCAGCCGGCAGCAGGGCATACTTCTCCGTCTCTGCGATCGGTAGAACACTTGCGAGCCAGTAAGGGAACGTTGCAGCATCTTCTGGTGGTTGTCCGTAAGCGGCAAGGACCCTTTGGTGTAGCCATCGCGCTGAACGTGCTTGAGCTTGGCGAACAAATTCTAGTCCATACTCTAAGAGTTGCTGTGTCGACGAGTGATGGAGTCGCGCAAGGTCATCTTGATCTGGCTGTACTGGCATACACGTCTCCCGCGCCTCTATCGCCTCCTCCTCGTGGACGCTGATGTCATCAAAGCGTTGAATTCGACCAGTGAGATATCCGTCGACCATCCCGGTTTCGACGACCCGAAATTTATACAAACCTCTTGTTTCTAGGAGACTCCGACCATCGGCCAACATTTCTACTCGTTCGACGAACAAGACTGTCCCATACTCCTGGTAATGAGGGCCACCTTGTTGGTATTCGCTGTGTGGCTTGTATGCCAGCATTCCAAACTTGCGCGTGCCGTTTTCGAGGACGCGCCTGACCATTAACCTATATCGGGGTTCGAAAATATGCAGAAACGTCGGCATCTGGGGATAGACCAACGTGCATGGGAAGAGTGGTAGTTGGGTCTCTTCATCAACCATGTCTTCTTGTGCGGCAAGAGCCTTCCTCGCCACCAGGAGATCAGGAAACAGATGCTGTATCAAACGTGCGACTCTCTTATTGTTGGGTGTTGTCTGTTGGGAGTGGACCAGTGGCAGTAGACGACGACACATGGGGCAATGGTTGGTATGGTCCATGGCTCGGCAGAAGCACCTTCTACAGAAAGTATGGCCACACGAGGTAGTCAAAGGGTCCAACATGATCTGGTAGCAGACCTGACATTCGAGTTCGGGTCGGATGGCATCCTGTAGCTTTTCCAACACCGTCACATCAGCAGCTCGCACGGCCTCAGCGGTGTCGGTGTTGACAGTGGTGTACGAAATGGCGGAGTGGTAATTCAGCTCCCCCATATCTGCGAACATATATGTCGCTGCAATCCGGCCACCTGAAATGACGTGTGAGTGCGGTGTGGCTTCGGTGGAAGTTTCGTCGGGTCCGGAACTATCCAACCTTTCTTCTAGCAGGAGAGGAATCTCAAGACTTTCTGCCATGTAGTTTGATATGAAGGCATTCACGAGATGCCCGATCTTGTTCAGTGTCACGTCGACCGCGCAATCGCCAACTGAATGTTCCGACCCACAGCTATCAAATGGACATAAGAACCCCTCAGATCGACCTTCCACAATAGGATATGTAATGTTTTCCCTTTTGTATAGTGACGGGAGACATGGTCGACAAAGCGTATTACCACAGGGCAAGGTCATAGGCTCGTGAAGTGGTAGGGAGCACTGGGTACACTGGAACAACCTGACAATATCCCGTGCGTTGCTGTGCGCGTCGAACCCGTCCAGGGGTGTCGTCGCCGACTGCGGTCCATCACTCATCTGCGCGGGGAGTCAAGTGTTGATTTGTAAATCCCTACTCTTCCAATTCCTTTTGAGCCAGTCAAAAGAAGCTACAAGTATGATCCATATGTATAATCTCGTCGTGTCTGCGCCACTGGCCTTGACATTCGAACTTTGTCGTTAGATTGGTGCCTCTTCTCGAGAAGACCAATGATGGTTTGGATATCTGTCACCACAGTGACGCGAGATAGGTGATAAAGAGGAACCTAGACTTGGGTTTTTGGGGAGGTAGATAGGCGATAGTCTAGTTTTATATCGTGGGTGAGGTGAATCTGAGGAGGGCGACCCTGCACAAGACCGTTTCGGCGTAGATGACAAGAAGTTATCAGCTGTAGAGGAAGATTCGACGAAATGGTCAAGTCAAAGAGTCAACGACGTCGTTGACTTTGAGCAGATTTCAACCCGAGGTATGGTAGAACAGGGCAGTGTGCACTCCCATTCGAGATCCAAAGTGATGACCCGCACAGCTGTCAGGAACCAAAGAGGCATGTCAGTCGCAGCGGCTAATGAGGATGCGAGGGAATATCGAGGGCTTTGGTGAGAGCCAGGCTTGTGGATACAGTAGACCATGGGCCTGGGGCAGCAACAACGAACACCTCCATCTTCCCTGCTGGAACGAATCAGGGGCAGTGATTGGTGGTGGGAGGGAAACAGGCAAGACGGTAAGATTTTGTTCGCCACAGTAGCGCGCAAGGTGTGAGCGATGTCAAGGGATATCGAGATCTGGAAATGGTGACGGGATCGAGAAAATGGCCAACAACATCGACACCCAACGGGAGTTGGAGGGGAACCGATTATTGGGCACGCGTGGCACGGTGGGAGTGGGAGAAAGTGGAAAAGGTGCCCAGACCGCAGGGGGGCGACCGGTGGACGCCGACCAGCAGCTGAGGCTTGGAATAGCCCTGACTGATTGGTGCTCTACACCCCCTCTACCTACAATATTCGTCGTCATCACTGGCCCTGATGTCAACAATACACGTGACCGTTTTGGCACGTGATTGAAGCCCACATGATATGGACAACTTGATAGATGCCCTTCTTTACAGGCTCTACCTGTATGCAGTCTGAGGTGCATGCAAGGGACCTCATCTTCTAGGATGTTTGGTCCCTGGCAAGCTCTAAAAGTTATCGAACCTCTCTTTGCTTTTCTACCCCGCTGTCCTCTAGCTGGGGAATGGGCAGGTGGCGATACCAGGGAGACACCACCAAGGCATAGCAAACCTACCACCAAATGCAAAAGAACGCCATACCTTTCGTTTCTGTTTCGTCCCCGCAAAGTATCTTGCAGGAATGCCATACCCAATACATCCATCCAGAGCTGTTGGCAACAGAGCCGCAATACGCCACGCTATTTTGCCGAACTGATCCTCCCGCACACGTGTCCCTCTTCTCCATTTGTTCTAGGCCCTCCCAGACCCTATATTTTAACAATATTCGCCTTTTGGGTTTTGCCTTCCCAACATGTTGTTGCTTCGCTTAGAAGCCTCCGAGTCAATCAGCGGTCCATATCCGACCATCCTCCGTATGTCTGTATGACACAACTACCCTGTATCAGACTCAGTGGAGTCTCCCATGTCCTCGTCGAAGATGATCTTCCGCATTAGACCCTTGTTAAAGAGGTTGAGGATGTAGTGCCGCGCCTGCAGCCGATAGTGATGACTCTCCAGTATGACCAACGTTTTCCGAAACATTTCCGTGTCGCCAAAGTGGCTAGGTTGTCGCGATTTGAGGGCATGAAGATCTGCGGCAGCCTTTTTGTACATGACTGAATTGCCCATCTCGACAATTGATTTGAGTATCTTCGCTCTGACCGGGTTGTCGTCCGTCGTAGCGTACTTGTACTTGGCGTCGTCCTCGGGGGATGTTGATACGAGTACGGTGGCAGACCCAACCGATTTCTGTATTGTTAGCTACATCTTCGAGCATGCCAAACACGAACTTACCAAGCACAATGCCTCCAGATTACGGGGCAGACAGAGACCAAGGGAGCGCCCTCGCGGATCCACCGTCGTGTCCCACCCATTTTCAGCAAGCATCTCGAAACCGTGAAGGGTGCGTGATATCAAGCCTAAAACGAAACAGGCAGTGCCACGCATCGACAAAACGTGGGCACCTTCTGCAATCCTTACGATTGTGGTGACCACATCCGCCTCTTCCAGGAACGGGGCCCCGAGGTCCATTGAACCAATGTTGCCAACTGCCCACATGCACCCTTTCACCTTGGTTAGTATTTCTGGGTCTTCTTCCTCAAGGTTGAAATCTCGGATCGTAGATGAAAACTCGTAGAAGTGCCCCGACTGCTTCAGCAGTTTACACCCTTCATGCGTCCGAGCAAGTTCTCGATAGAAGTGTGGGGGTGCGATTCCAACCTCATGTAGGTCAACGGTGGCATCTTCGTTAAAATGCACCTTACTGGTATTAGCGTCCATGTAGGCCCGAAGGATTGAAGCCTCCACGAGAGCCACATATGCATCGTTTCGGCCCAGGAACCAGTCATCCATTTCCTGCGTAATGTAGTCAAGTCCGCTGAGATATCGGTAGCCTACAGAGGTCGAAAGGAAGCGCAGTAGAAGGGGGGCGCCAATCTCTCCGAGATGATCCAGTGATGGTCGGCATTTGACCACGTATTCCAGGTGGCTCCGTTGATTACAAGCTTCCTCGAGAATCTTGACGGCCACTTCGCCGACCTCGACGTCTGGATCGTACAGTTGCGTAAGAACCAGTCGAAGAGCCCAATGGGAACTGGAGCGGTCTTGTAGCCCCGACGAATACTGTACGCGACCTACCGCATATCGTCGAAGCAGCTTGGTGGCAAAGAGTCGGATATCTTTGACGCCGGAGGTTAGTGCTTTCGACAGAATAACCCGGAGATGTGTGTCCAGGGTGTAGTCCATATTCCCGAGGAGTGCTCGGATCAAGTCATCTCGATCTTTGAGTTCAACAAGGTGGTAAAAGATGTCCATCATATGCCACTGTTCCATCAGGCGCATTCCCTCAGCAGAATGGCTTAAAGCGCCGAGCATGGCAAAATAACCTGCGCTGAGTGTCTCAGCCATGTGGTGCCGCTCAAACAGTGGGTTAGATGAAGTAATCCCGCTGTGCGGATCGATCTGGGCCAGGCATTCTGCGATCTGGCGCAACAATTTGTTCTCCGCAAGGTACTGCACGCCCAGTGAGGTCTGAGTTAGGGTCCGCATCAGAGCGCAGCCTGTGCGAATGTAGCGCTGGTTAGGCCTGGTGTTTCGGATGGTGGAAAATCGATATTTGAAGGGTCGAAAGAATCCAACAAGTCGCTTCATGAATTTGGGAGATCTGATGGCCTCCTCCAGCCTTTTTGGATTGGTCAGAGGCCCTTCGACCAAGCCTTGGATCAGCTCCCATCTCCATTTGATGTATTGTGAATGACTCGTGACCTGGCTGTCGGCCATAGCTTGCCGAAATTGATCTCCGTCCATCATGGCAGTATACTTTGTTCTTTCAATAGTCTGCGGGCCGACGGCTAATTCGTCAACCTGTTCGATCCTTCCAAAGGTAGAAACAGACGCCCTATTGAGTGCTCGATTGATGCTTTCGATCTGATATATCATACCCATATTGATCGCCGTCACTTCGGTTCCAAAATCGACGCAACTGGGCACAAGGTCACCAAGGACCTGGATGCTCGAACTAATCGTTTCGGGCAGAGCATGGTGTGAAAGTTTCAGAACCTCAGTCAGCAAAAGAGTGCCCTTCCGTTTTAGAGCAGCATCCTCCTCGATTTTGATCAGATCCACCAGTGCAGGTATCAGACCTGCCTTCACCAATGCTGCCAGCACGAAGGCCGAGAAGTGATATGTTAAGTCAAACCTCCCCTCTGCGTTGTATTCTGCCAGCTGCCTTTGAGATGGTTGCTCCACTTGCAAAGTGTTGACTCTGCCGTAGGTTGTTAACCTCCTGCCGGCCAAAAACGAGGTAGACCATGAAGGTGGTTTGATGCGGAGGATGTCAAAAAAAAGCTCCAATACGATATCTCGAGATTGTGTAATGGGGTAGACCAGCGAGTCAATCAGAGATCGAAGAGGAGAAGCGCCATTCATCGATAACAAGATGAAGCCGGGCCAAGTTTTGAGCATTGCTGCAATAGCCTGAGCACACGTTTTCAATTTTTCCTCATTGCCGCTGAGCAACAGGGGGTCTGTAAACGGAGCAAACATAGCCTCAAACTCCCGGCCGGTGTGTAAGTACTTGCGTTGCTGTGGATGGTCCAGGATGTGAAGAAAGCTAGCGACGAGACCTTCGGGCGCCGGGAAAGAGCCGTCTGCCAGGGCTTCGGTGAGAGTGCTCATGCCATTCGCTGCGACGACCAGTTCTGTGTGTTTCATAAGGAGCTCGGCCAGCGTCAACAGGCATATATCTCTCAGACGGTCGTCATATGTTTCAGCGACCGCTACCAGACTTCGCACAACAGCACGGGAAAGCTCATAGACGCCGTCTTTCACGTCCAGGAATGCTCGCACAAATTTGACAGCCTGCTCACGTTCCAGCACAGCATTGGCCTTTTTAACCAGTGACAGGATGACCAGTTCGTCTGTGCGGAGGGTTCGGATGGTTTGCAACGATTTCCTATCAGCGATAGCGTGTCGAGTCAGTCTGTAGCCTGCTGCAAC